GGCCCGAGCACGACCGTGCGAGGTCCCTATTGAATTTGCTCGGATTATATATATTTATTATTTATTATTTATTTTTTTTTTTCTGCAAAGTAGGCCCAAATGACATGGCCTAAACATACTCGAAAACTCACCAAATTTGCAAACATGTCAGAACCGGTGAAAAATTTCGTATTCTACAAGTTTCGCACATGGGCGTGGCAAAAATGACTCGCTAGCGCCACCTAGAAAATTGGAAATGATTAGCCCCTCGTTCACGTTCAACCTACATCTACGATTTTCTGGGGACATGTATCGTATCAAGACGCACAAAAAAGCCTCAAGAACCCATAGCCTAAAGTCAACAGGAAGTCGGCCATTTTGAATTTTACGGCCATTTTTGGATGATTTACACACTTCGTACTTTAACGAACTCCTCCTAGGGATTTAGTCGGATCGACGTCAAATTTCTGCTGTGCCTTCTAAAGGCATTGACGATGAAAAGTTGTGCTATTTGCGCGTTTTCGTCAATGGGCGTGTCCGTGGCGTCGACGATTCGCAATGAAACAGGAAGTTGTTGTAACTTCAGTGTACATGCTCACATCCGGACCAAAGTGTACATGTAGGATGAGAGTCCCGCCCTGAATACATGTACATGCCGACATTCACCCACAGTCATAGCGCCACTGCTGGCAACAGAAAGTGACCTTTAACGAAGCAGCCCCCGCCCGTGTCACCTACGTGCACGAATTTTCTGGTACGTGTATCTTGTCCAGACGCACAAAAAAGTCTCTTGGAGCCATAGCCTAAACCCAACAGGAAGTCGGCCATTTTGAATTTTACGTCAAATTTTGGATGATTTACACACTTCGTACTTTAACGAACTCCTCCTAGGGATTTAGTCCGACCGACCTCAAATGTTTGCTGTGCCTTCTAAAGGCATTGAAGATGAAAAGTTGTGCTATTGCAAGTTTTATCAATGGGCGTGTCCGTGGCGTGGCGTCAAGATCAGCTCTTCGCCATGACACGGAAGTTGTCGTAACTCAGTGTACATGCTCACATCTGGACCAAGCTGTACATGTAGGATGAGAGTCCCGCCTGAACACATGTACATGCTGACATTCACGACAGTCATAGCGCCACCTGCTGGCAACAGGAAGTGACTTTTAACGAAGCAGCCCCCGCCGCACGTTTTACCTACGTGCACGAATTTTCTGTGGTACGTGTATCTTGTCCAGACGCACAAAAAAGCCTCTTGGAGCGATGCCCTAAAATCAACAGGAAGTCGGCCATTTTGAATTTTACGTCAAATTTTGGATGATTTACACACTTCGTACTTTAACGAACTCCTCCTAGGGATTTAGTCCGACCGACTTCAAATTTGTGCTGTGCCTTCTAAAGGCATTGAAGATGAAAAGTTGTGCTATTTGCGAGTTTTCGTCAATGGTGTGTCCGTGGCGTGGCGTCAGAGATCAAGTCTTCGCCATGACACAGGAAGTTGTTGTAACTTCAGTGTACATGCTCATCTTAACCAAACTTACGTGCTTGATAACTCTCCCACCCCGTTATGGAGGACCGATCCTGACACAGCCAGAAATAAATACAGAAATAAATAAATGCTCAATAAATAAATAAGCATCCATTAAATACACAAAAAAATAAAGTAAAGTAATAAATGTAGGTAGTAATTAAATTATACAAGGAGACATAAATGTTATATTTTAATTAGTGCCTTTACTTATTCACCTTTGTTATAATTACCTTATTTGTTTATTCAACTTTATTTATTACTAATTTTTTTAATGTATTTATTTATGTGGTGTTTAATATTTTTGTCTGTTTTATTCTTCCTTGTATTTATTTACCTTATTTATTTTCACCATGGTATTTATTTCTGCCTGTCCTTTTTAAAATTTTTGTATGCATTTCTGTCTCATTATGCAAATGAGGAGGGGCTGTGTCTCAAGGGGTCATCTTCTCTGCTATTGGTGGACCAGTCAGACAGGAGAGCTCCTACTCTGCCTGCAGACATAAACGATCTTGCCCCTCACACAGTCAGATGGCTTCCTTCAGTGCGTGAGGTGTTTAACAACTCTGAAGACAATACTACCAGCAATGTCTTCCTTCTTTTCACGTAGACGCTCGACAGACAGTGCTTTCAGTTTGCTGCAT